CCTTCCTAGGGTCTTAGCCAATGGGCAAAGGAAGAGGGCAACATGCAGCCAGGAGTTAGGATAAAAGGAGGCTGCACCCTCTGAAACCTTGAGAAAGAGAAAAGCCTGCAGGTGTGTGCCCTGATGGACTCTCTCCCTTTATTCAAATAAAGTTGAAGGACTCCTCTGTCTCCTTTTTGGACATAAATCTGTGGCGTTCGTGGATTTTTCTGGCAACTGGGGACCTGTCCGGGATCCTTCCACTGTCTGGGTCTGGCACATGGCCAGAGGAGCTGGAGGTGTGCCTCACCCAGTTTTGGTGACCAGCTCCCTTTGGCGTTGGCCAGCACCAGGCAATTGACTGGGTACCCAAGACTGTCCAGAAGACAGTCCAGCGGGGTCTGTGAAGAGTCCAAAGGAAAGGACCACTGAACTTGGATGTCCAGAGGGGACAGTAAGGGAAAGTTGAGAAAGGGTCTCAGCAAATCTCACCGGTGAGTACAATTTCCGGGAGTAAAACATGGCAGGACGCAAAGGGTGGGCAACAAAAAGGAAAGTCAAAAAAGGGTCTCAACTATAGGGATGATGATCCTAAAATACCTCTGCAGGGTCCTTTGGGAGACTGTTGAGATGGTTTACATATTCTCCCAGAGGTAGTTAAGGACATGGATGCTCAGAGGGAGCAGTAAGAGGTGCTGAGAAAGGGTCTCGGCAACCTGTGCCCAGAGTGGGCGATATGGTATTTAGTCTGGGAAAGGATTGGTTGAAGAGGAGTGTGGAGAAACATGGTTAAGGCAAATAGCAAAGGGAGGCTATGTGATAAGGAAAGAACAGTGAGGACTTGGAAGTCCTCTGCCTTATCTTCAAAATCTGCAGTATAATACAGGGCCAGCTATAAGTCTTTTGTATTCCCAGTTTCCAGGAGAGAGAAAACAAGGAGGTATTGTTCTTACACCCCCAGCCCTCTCTGGGCCATTATGGAGCCAGGGTGGAGGATTTGAGTTTGTCTGCTTAAAGGTAGTGAATGCTATTTAGGACTTAAGGGGGTTTCTCTATGTTGAGGAGTGCTAAAGCCAGATGTGAGTAGAGGATCAGCAGCACGGGCTGGGACCTCTGGGGAAGGTGCAGGACTGAGCTGAGGCTGTGGGACAGCTGGAGCTCAGTGCCAGGTGGTACCCAACACTGCCACCCCCCCCAGACAGGGACTGCAGTGGCCTCCAGGCCCCATGATATTGCAGAAAACCCTCCTGCCCATCCCTGTGACACTGTTGGCTGTGCCTACCTGTCAGGACCTGGTGTTTTACAGAGCTTGCGGTGCAGGGAGAGTGACACAGGGGCTTGTACAGATGTGCAGGGGTATCTGGACACTGTGGCTGGATGGGGATCAGCTTTGGTGTGTAGTGTAAGATACAGCAAACAGCTTTCACAGATAAATCCACATCCATGGTGTGGACATGATTTTCTGAGCCTGAGAGAGTAGGGGAAAAGTTCCTGGGAACAGTTGAGCTCCTGACAGGCTGAAACTCTCTCAGGCTCAGAAAATTATGTCCACACCCATGGACTCAAGGTAACAGTCCTGCATAATCCATTTGCCACAGACCATTTTCCTTGATTTACATGTCCTTTATGTGTGACTGGTCACTTAAGAGTATGCTGACAAGCTGGGCAGCCAGCTAGGATAGTTTTTACCATATCAAGTGAAATAGGTATTCTGCAATCTTGGACCTATGTGGAAGTGGCTTTTTCTTCAGCACAGCCCCAGTGCAGTGCACATTCACCCCAGGCTCTTGCACAGCATCACTGTGGGTGGCCTCAAGATGAACACACCAGCATCAGGATCTGTGCTGAGACAGAGGGGGACTGAAAGTGCCCTCTGAAACTGTCAAACTCATACTCGGGTCTTCACCCTCTCCTCTGTCATGAGGGAAATGATCAGCATTGCATTTGTATCTTTCCTTGCTAGTGCTCTGCCCTATATACCCTTGTGCAGGCTCACCTGCATTCCACTGTACCCAGAGAAACCTCGGCTTCCTCCTTCCCCGGTGGTTCCATTGTTTGGCATCAGTCATAGAGCTGTGCCACAAAAGCTGCATGGCTCAGCTCTGGGTCAGGCTGGCTCCATCAGTTTTGGTCAATGCTTGAAGCCAGTCTGGAACGTGTATCATCCACTAGTCAAGCAATGCCTAAATCAATGCCCAGAGGCTTCAGCCCACAGAAAACCCAAGCAGTTGGTTGTGTCAAAACACGCAGCACTTCCTGAAGGTCGCACATGAAAGGACAGCAGAGTGGGAGGGACAAGGAAAGGGCCCACTTTCATCTCTCACATAGACAGGAGGGGACAGGACAGCAGCATTCCCCTTCAGAGACCTATGAGAACCTGCAGGTGTGAGAAGCCAGGCCATACAGATCCCAGCTGAACAGATAAACTCAACTGTGTTAGAATGAGCAGGGCTGCTGTGTGCCCCTGGAGAGAGGCTCCCCAGGGTTGAGTTGTTACTCACCTTTATTTACAACTCACTGGGTGTGGGAACTGTCAATGGTCAAATAAGAGATTTTTGGGCTTCAGGCATTAGCTGGAGCTTGTGTGAAACTAAGTCACACAACTTTCTCTCTCTGGCCTGAGAAATCATAAGGAGAAGTCCAAACAATCCCTAGAGAAGGAGAACAACCTTTGCAGGTGTTGTGTGTCGCCTAAGTGACCAGTGATGGTGGTTTGTTGGTTTAATGACCAATGAGAGGTTTATCTTCTCAGACCTTCTTAGAACTGTCTGTAAAAGAAGATCTGGAAGAATAAAACTTGCTCTCATTTGCAACCAAAGCTAGAGAGTCTGTGTTGTACTTTTGCTGTTCCTAATGTAGTGCGACAACTGGGAGCTAAGGACTGAGTGGAAGAACAGAGAACAACAAAGAACTGCCTGAAAAAGAGTAAGAGGAGAGATCCTGGAAGTGGTCGAACCTCCAAGACAATATCACATGGGAAGCAAAAAGTGCAGCCCAGTGAAGGACTTGGGGATGCTGGTGGATGAGAAGGTGGACCTGTCCTAGCCATGTGTGCTGGCACCCAGAATCCCCTCCGTGTCCTGGGCTGATCCCAGAGTGTGGGCAGCAGGAGTGGGAGGGATTCTGCCCCTCTGCCCCACTCAGGGGAGACCTCACCTGCAGAGCTGCCTCCAGCCCTGGGGTCTCAGCACAGGACAGGCATGGAGCTGTTGGGAGCACATCTGCTACTCCTTTAGCACCTTCCACCTTCCTGACCTGGGGCTGCTGGCCCAGCCCCATCACCTGCAGCACCCATCCCACAGGAAGGTGGATGGGAGAGTCCCCCTGCAGGGACTGGAGTTTAAATAGCATGAGACTGGTGCAGGGGGCAACATCCACATCTGCTCCAGCTGCCAGGACCAGCAGGGCAGCTGTTCTCACCTACACTCTGCCGGGAGCTGTGCTCCAGCTGGCTTCCAACATCTTCCTGCAGCACTCTTGGAACTGTCCCTCACACCAGCTCCTTTCCTGGATTGAGGGTTCCCTGCAGGTGTAGGACAGAAACAAGAGTCAGCTGCAACTCAGGCAAGCCCTAACTTTTGTCAGCACCTAAACCCTTCTCTGCTGCGCGGTGCAAAGGAAGTAGAGTGAGCTGAGGAGCAGGGAGACACAGACCAGCCAAATGACCACCAGCCCCTGCCTTTGGCTGGAGAACAAATCTAATGGAGTGCTCAGGACGAGCCACAATTTCCTGCACTGCTCAAAGTTTCCCTTAAAAACAAACTTACAAATGCCTCCAACTCAAGTTTTTGTTCCTAGATGAGGAAGCTTAGTCAAAGGACAAGAGACTCCACAGGTAGGGCAAGGAAAACCATGTTTCCTGTGTCACTATCCAGTGCTCTGTTCTCTAAGCCGATCTTCCCCCTCAGTCCCAACCAGCTGCTTTTCCACAGCTTGGACTGACCAGCTCAGAAGCCTGGGCAGATACACACACACACAGCAGTGGACATGGGGAACACACACTTGAGGTACCAGAGACATTAACATGGACAAATGAGATGGGAACAGAACATTCCTACAAGACACAACTTGAATTTATGTTTATTTTATATATATATTTATATATATATATGTATATATACCTTTGTATAGATTAAACTGGGGGGGATTTTATCATATACATTTTTTTGGTATAATACATGAGAAACAGGGACAGGAACACAGCAAATATAAATCAGTATATTCCTTCAGTGAACTCCTTGACACACTGAGACTGAAAAATTGCATGCAATGGGGAGACAGAGAGAAGGGAAATCAATTTTATTAGGAAAAAACAAAAGAAACAAGATAATCTAGGTACAACTGTCAACAGAGGAGCAGCACTATAGATGGCAAACCTGTATAAATTAAAAGAAACTTCCACTCTGACATCTACTATGCTTTAAAGTGCAATGAAGCCTGATTTATTTACCTACAGAATACAGGAAAGTTTCCCCCTCTCCCCATTCCAATCTATCCCTAAAAAAAACCAAAAACCAAACAAACCCAAACAAACAAACCAATAAAATAAATCCAAAGGATATACATTATCCACAGTCCTATAGAGACGCCTACATCTACTCAGTAGCACCAAGAATCTGATATGGGTGTAATTAAAATCAATTAAAACTCGGGAGCAATGGTAACATCTGTTAGCTGCTTCTGCAGACCTCCTGCCCTTCATGAGTGCCTGGGGGAGAGGTGGCTCTCCCTGTGCTGGGGTGACGGTGGCCTGGCGGGTCTGGCAGCAGCACAGCACACACAGCACAGCGAGAGCAGCGTGGGGACACGGGGACACGGGGACACGGGGCCAGGCCCGTGTGGGGTCTGCACGGCCGGGTGGGGGGGTCACACACCTGGGCAGGCGCCTGGGGGGAGCGGGACTGACCTACACAGAGGGAAGGGTTGTGCGAGTCCAACACACGCCACAAGCCTCTTTGGTGACAGGGTGATGGGCAGGGGAGGGAGGGAGGGAGGGAGGGGGGGA